AAACTCCGCACTCGGCTAAGCTTTCTCAGGCTGCTTAGTGCTGGTACGCGCTTTTAGCCCGCTATGGTACTTGTTGTTGATGCTGGTTAAGAACAAGCTGTTACTGCAGAGGTGGTGCCAAGGGGACCTCAGAATTCCCTTTGGCAGAAGATTGTCCTTCCAACAAATTGAGACTTTGCCTAACAATTTATTCTGTTTCCCAGGTGGCTGACCCTGTTGTCACGTTTTGTGAGACGGTGGTGGAAACATCTTCCCTCAAGTGCTTTGCTGAAACGCCCAATAAGAAGTGAGCTGGGGGTCTGAGTGACCCTGGGACTGACAGGGGACACTCTTCTCTGCCCGCGCCACTCCGCCCAAATCACAAGCGCTGTGGAAACAGACTCCCTGAGTCTTAGGATGGGGTCTTAGGATGCTGGAGTTTTACCCCAGCACTCTCATCCCTTAGGCCTGTAGACATGATACTGTGGGATTCTTTGCCAGAAGTACCCCAAGGATGAGTGTCCGCATTGCCACTTCTTTCTGTATATGATCATCTTAAAATTTTGCCCTAGCAGCAGCTCCACTGTTTTTTGTTTTTTTAAGATTCTATTTTTAAGTAATCCCCAGCCCCAGCATGGGGCTCAAACTCATGACCCTGAGATCAAGAGCCACATGCTCCACTGAGGGAGCCGGCCAGGCGCCCTGAGACCTCACTTTTTTAAAGAGTGGTAGATTTGAATGAAGAAGACAGAAGATGAACCTTTTTGCTCTACTCTGGCCCATCTGGCTTCTACTGGCGTCACTGCCTTGCCAGCCTTTTCTTAGGAATGCGCCTTCTGTGAGTCCTGCTGATCCTCATCATTACCCGTTTCCTGTCTGACTAGGAACAAGATCACCATGATTGCCGAGCCACTTGAGAAGGGCCTCGCCGAGGACATAGAGAACGAGGTGGTCCAGATTACCTGGAACAGGTGAGAACGTGGCTGTGGTTCCAAGACTTGAAAGGAGACGAGGCGCCACAGCCTGCCCGCCCAGTCTCTAATGCCACCTGTTCTGGGAAGTGAACTGTCCTCCAGGAAGGCAGGATCTGTGACCCCAGCAGGCAATAACTGCAGAGCTGCCAGATACCTCCATTGTCTCATCCTTCCCCCTCCCAGGAAGAAACTGGGAGAATTCTTTCAGACCAAGTACGATTGGGATCTGCTGGCTGCACGTTCCATCTGGGCTTTCGGCCCTGATGCCACCGGCCCCAACATCCTGGTGGATGATACCCTGCCCTCTGAGGTACAGCAGAACTAATGGGAGCCATAGAGGTGGTTTCTTCGCTGTAGAGTGGAAGAAACTATGAAGTGTACTTCTTTTCCCCAAAGTATTTTGTGGTTTCTGGTGAATCTTCTTACCAGTATACCTACCTTCTACTCCCTCTAAACTCTGGTTGTTGCCAGGGTCGCTGCTCACATGTGCCCTCGTGTTTTGTGCAGGTAGACAAGGCTCTTCTTGGTTCAGTGAAGGACAGCATCGTTCAAGGTTTCCAGTGGGGAACCCGGGAGGGGCCCCTCTGTGATGAGCGTAAGTTCCACCCATGCCTCGGCCTCCCCTGCCCAGACCTCTAGGGTCCTCGAGCCTGGGCGTGTGGGGTGGGCTAGGCTCATCTATGGGCGCTGGCAGGAGAAGCAGCTCGGGGCACACGGGGCCATCCCGTGTCCTGGGGCAGCATCCTCTCCTCCCCTCCCTCCCTGTCCTAGTGCTATTGCTCGGGACATCCGAAATGAAGTTATTTCTAGGCTGACATTTGCTCCTCAGTCCTGAGAAGGAATGTGTTCAAGGAAAGGTATTAGGAGGGAGGTGGGATCAGAGTGGTTTATAGACCACGGTTGGATTTAGTGGGAAGAAATGTGCAATTCCTAGAACTTACTCTGCATTCAAACATAATTAAATATCTGTAAGAAAAACACATAAACATCTAGGAAGGCTTTACGATGCCTGAGCATGACCTGAAACCAACACAAAGAACGTGTGCTTAACTTCCGTCCTCTGCTGTAGGCCTTGGCATCCTATCAGAACACTCATCTGCAGGGTGGTTGTGAGCCGTATCTTTTGTGGCCTCAAGACAGCTGCCATGCAGCTAGAGGCCCCTTGCTGCTCTGCCCTTGGGCCCTTGACTAGCCCTGCAACTGCTCCTCACTCAGCAGCTCCCCCATCTCTGTTTCAGTGATTCGAAATGTCAAGTTTAAGATCCTCGATGCAGTGGTTGCCCAGGAGCCCCTGCACCGGGGCGGGGGCCAGATCATCCCCACGGCAAGGAGAGTCGTCTATTCTGCCTTCCTCATGGTGAGTGGTGGGGCTGACCTGCTCCAGGGCATTGAGTGGAGGTCCAGCCTTTGGGGGCATCAGGACTGCAGTCCCTCCGGCCTTTTCTTTACCTGGATCCTCAGTCCTCAGCCTTCCCCAAGCTGAGCAAGCCTTTCTTCTTGCCCCCACTGCAGGCCACTCCTCGCCTGATGGAGCCTTACTACTTTGTGGAGGTCCAGGCCCCTGCGGATTGTGTCTCTGCTGTGTACACTGTCCTGGCCAGGCGCAGGTGAGCCACCAGCGGGGCATGTTAGGGCGGGTGCAGAGAGCAGGAGCACAGCGGGAAGTTATGGGCTCCCGTGGGGAAGGAGATGGGCCTCCTACACAGTTTCTGCTCCTAAAAACCAACTGAGCTGGGTTTTCAGAAGGAAGTAGGAAAGATTGGAGGAAATGCCCAGCTTCACTGCAGATAAAAATTTTGAGATTCTTTTTTGGGCCCTCTCTCCTTGGAGAGTCCTTGGGGAAAGGACTGAAATGTGTAGTGGGGGGAGTGTCTATAGGACCTTGTCTCGTCAGTGTTTCCACTCTTTTTTTTTTTTTTTTAAAGATTTTATTTATTTGACAGAGAGACACAGCGAGAGAGGGAACACAAGCAGGGGGAGTGACAGAGGGAGAAGCAGGCTCCCCGCCTAGCAAGGAGCCCAACGCGGGGCTCGATCCCAGGACCCTGGGATCATGACCTGAGCCGAAGGCAGACTCTTAACGACTGAGCCACCCAGGCGCCCCAGTGTTTCCACTCTTGCCTAGAGGTCACTGCCCCTTTGACAGCCACAGGAAATGACACTGAGGGCCCCAAGCCTTTTCTGCCCACTATAGCATGATTGTGGTTATTCTTTCCTTGATGGTAACTGTGTTGTGGTACATTTGGGGCCAGATTCTTCTCTGCTTTTGGTCTCTGTAGGACAAGGAACTCACCCTTTCTTTTTCTCTCACAGGGGGCACGTGACTCAGGATGCACCCATCCCAGGCTCCCCTCTCTACACCATCAAAGCTTTCATCCCTGCCATTGATTCTTTTGGCTTTGAGACTGATCTGCGGACTCACACCCAAGGGCAGGCCTTTTCCTTGTCTGTCTTCCACCATTGGCAGGTGAGAAAATGATGCAGGCTGGCCAGTGTGCCCTCCCACCTGTTCAAAGCCAGTCCCCTCTGGCCTGTTCCCCTTCCCAGGTGAGATTTCCAGTATCCTAGAGAAGAGTCCTAGACCATCTGAAATCACTTTACCTTTCAGATTGTACCTGGCGATCCTCTGGACAAGAGCATTGTCATCCGCCCCCTGGAGCCACAGCCTGCTCCTCACCTGGCCCGGGAATTCATGATCAAAACCCGTCGCAGGAAGGTATGCGTCCCTGGGGCCCATGGCCAACCCTCAGTCCCCAGGGCTCTTGGCAGGAGTTGGATCTCTTTTCATTTCTTGCTTTGGGACCTTTCTCCCAAAGACTGAGAGCAGTTCACTGCACGGTGCAGAGAGGTGCAGTCTGTACAGGCCTTGGGCCACCAGTCTGGCCGGCAAGGGAGCATCTTCTCCCCAGTGGCGATTCCTGAAATAGCTGGACCAAAGTTCCACCCCCATCAGCCTCCCCCTCCAGCACAGGTCTTGGACGGCCTTTCAGCTCTGTTGGTGACCACATAGGGCTCTTTCCTGCATCGCTCCCACTCTTTGCAGGGCCTGAGTGAGGATGTAAGCATCAGCAAGTTCTTCGATGATCCCATGTTGCTGGAACTCGCCAAGCAGGATGTTGTGCTCAATTACCCCATGTGAGTGCTGGGACTCCTGGCAGCCCTGCTCCCTGCAGCGGGCTGTATCCTGGACTTGAAGCTGGGACCTGGTGTGACCCGGACTCCATGTTGTCAGAGAGCGTCTGAGAGCTGCTGTGGCCATTTTTAACACCCCAAACCCTCCAACCCAGAGTCCCAGCAAGGGAGGAGTATTTGGCCTCCTAGTTCCTCTGCGGCCTCTGCCTGGCTCCATTCCCAGGGAACAGAGTGGAGCTTGGACTCCGAGAAGAAGAAGGGGACGAAGTGTTTAACCCCAAGGGGCCCTGTCTTCAGGATTTACATGGAATTTTTTCTTTTTTTTTTTTTACAAGTTTGACCTTAGACATGGTTTTTAAGTGAACAGAACAGTCTGACCTCTGCCTTGCTCTGTTCCTTTCATCCCCACCCCCATCCCCTTCCCTCCAGCACAGTCTGGCCCTGGTACTTGGGTTCTGAATATATGTTGTCTCCTGTGTCTCTTCTCCCAGCTGCAGTCTTCCTGCCTGCGTCCCCAGGGCAGCAGCCTGTGGTGGGAGGGATGCCTGCCTCTCAATTCAGTGCTCCCGTGAACGTTGAGGCCACTTTCTTGCCTCCACCTTCCTGCCTCTCTGCTCTGCTTCTTCTGGGTGGGACCTGGGCTGGCTTGGGAGGTGTTAGGCTTTTGGGACCAGAAGCTGTTGCCTCTGGAGAACCTTCCTTGCCCTGGAGCTGGGGGCCAGAGCTCTGATTTCTAGCCCTTTCTCTAAAACACACACACACACACACACACCACCCCCCACCCCGAGCCACTACCGGTCCCTTACTCTGCTGTCCCCCATGTGAAGAGACTTGATTTTCCTCAGAACTGCTTTATTAGGAACGTACCAGGGATTGATGGAAGAGGCTCTGGTGGCCCCAGGCTCTACAGGAGTCCTACTTCTCCCCAGGATCCTGTGCTATTCTCTTGATGTAGTCTCTATACATTGTGTACACAGCACCTGCAGGAAGGAGAAGGGAAAACATCCCATAACACCGAACCCTGCACCCATCCTCTGGCTCTCCCAGGAGTCTGACTCCAGCCGTTCCCCTGAGAGTCCAGCTTCTCTGCTCATCTTTTTGCTCTGGGTCTCAACAGGTGCCGTGAGCACCTGACCACACGGCCTAGGGAAACACCCCATTGACAGTTCACAAAGCCCTTCCACACAGATTACCTATCTGAGAAACCTCACAGCAGCCTGCAAGGTAGGCAAGCCAGGGTGCTTATCATCATGTTGGACACAAACTGAGGCTCAGAGAAGGATTTGTCCACGGTCACACAGCTAGTCCGTAGCTGCCTGCCTCTTGACCCAGAGAGGAAGAGAAGTTCAGCATATGTTCTGCTGTGTGATTTTTCTCACATCTAGAACAAACTGTCACGAAACCAACTGCACCATCCCCACAGGCCCTGGGACAGGAGATAAAACAAGGAATCCTGAAAATGGCTTGGTTTGGGAGTGTCACCCAAGACTTGCTGTGGAGCTTACTATAGGGAACAGGGACTAAAATTACCATCCCTTAACTGTCAGGACTCACAGCCAGATTTTGCCTCATCAGCTCTGTTCTTATTCTCCTGGGACCCTGGCAGCCACTCACCTAGCATGACTGCACCCACAGCACAGGCCTGCGCCGCCACTCGGGTGTGAATCAGGTGTATGGACATCTTGGTGGAACCACGGGCCTTCAGCCGATAAATCCGGTAGGCTGCCACTGCCAGGCAGCCTCCTAAGCCTATAGGCAGAGAACATGACCGTTGGGCCTCAGTCACCAATCACGTGGTTCCCCTAATGAGAGACCCCCTCACTTAGGTAGCCTGGGCATCTGGATAAACCCCTACTTTCCTGCCACTTCATGGCGGGAGAGGGGGGACCATCATCAGAATATTGAGTTGTTTCCTCTTGGTGGCATTTTCAAAGTGGCTGCCTCCCTCCAGTGAGGCCTCCTCTATGTACAAATAGCCCATCCTGAGCCCCCTACCCCCATTGGCTCTGCTCAGGCCCTTCTCCAACCGCTGTTGGCTCCCACAGCTACTTTACTACTCTCCCAAGACCTTGAGGAAGGAAGCCCTGGGAGACCCCAAACTGCTCCTCCCTCTCCTCACACAGGTGTTGATGCCCCATGTTTCCCCACACCCCAAGCCCTCGGCCACCACCTCCACCCATCCAGACTCCCTTATTTCATTGTCAGGCGTGTCCCTTCTTCCCTTGGCACCTTTGCTGCTGGTTCACTCCTTTCCTGGCTGGCAACTGCTCAGTGGGTATGACACTTGAGTTCCTGCTTCATTTGAAAAGACTAGGAGACCTGTTCTCTGAGGGAAGGCCCCTCCTCGCCCTCTTTCCTTACTTTCCTACTCACCTACAGGCACCAGCGGAGACTCCCTGGTCTTCCTCAGGAACTTCTGAGACACACTGTCTTCGCCCTCAGGTGGTACCCACCAGCCTTTGTTAGCTGACATGATCTGGCCCCAGGGTTATCAGCTGGGGCTCTGAGGCTTCAGCCCAGTCCTAGAAAGAGGCACCCCACAATAACTCCCGATTCTCCTCAGTCTGGGAGAGAGAGGAAGGAGTTGCCTGCTAAGACCTTCTCTTACCATGCCCCAACACACCGCTACTTGAAAAGTCCCAAGTGTCCTGTCTCAGATAGCTGGACCATTAGTGCCATTTCTCCCATCTCTTCTTCCACAGCTCAGTCTGACTTCACTGTTTTCCCTGCCCTCCTCCCCCCCCATCAGTATCCCTATGTTATGCTTAGGTTGAGAAAAGCAGCTGGAAAAATCCACAGATGAGGGTGGGAGGAACAGGCATTGAGGCTTGGGCCCTCCACTGGTCTTGAATCTGTGACCGTTCCCTGAGGGAGCCACAGAATAGGATCTGGCCCCAGAGAGCCAGAGCCATCCAGTGTCCCAGCACTGGCTACTGAATCACCAGAGCCAAAGATTAAGATGACTGGACATTGATTTGTGAATAATTTAGCATAGATTTTGGACATTAGTACTAATGGAACTAATTCTGGTTCCTGAACTGCTCGCATTTCCATCTCTTGGCAGGTTCTTTGCCATTGCCGAACCCCTGCCTTCCTCTCTGGGCAGGTGACCCTTATTGCTCTACTTGCTAACCCCAGTAAACATCTGCTCTGATCACAAACTAGACGGAGCCCCAGAGTCCTGGTCCATAGACCAGGGCTTCTGCCTACGCGGTGCCTTCTGGGTCCGACCGTGAGACAGACTCCCTGCATGAGGTGACCTCTATTCCTAGTTGCCTCTTCTCTCCTGGAGGAGCAAGGACTGTCAGCCCCACAGGTTCTCAGCATGCTGGTGCTTACCCTAGGAGATGGCTAGAAAGTAGAGTGCAAGCAGCCCGGCCAGGGCTCAGCATCTGCTGTTTTGAACCGGCCAGGAGCTGATGATGGAGCTGCCACTGTGGGGTCAGGGAAGCAAGCTTTAATGGGGACTTTGAAGTCAGGAATGGAGAGGGGAGGAGATAGGCCAGGACATCAGTCTTAACCCCCCATTTGCTGAGTTCCAGGCCAGAGCTTCAAGCACCGGAAGGTAATGAAAGATCAGATGGTGGGAGCACTTAACTAGATTCAGTGTGTTAATTCCCATGGATGTAAGGGGCTGGATCAGACAGGGACTTGCTACAGAGAACTGAGCTGGAAATACAGAGCCAAGAAACGAGAGAGATCCTTGGTTCTCCCGCAAGCTATACTGCTTCGAACACTCACGAACAATGTGGGATGTAAATAAAATGCCCCTATTCCCAACTGTGGTCTTGATCCTTTCAAGGATGCTTTCTAGACCAAGGAGATTCATCCAGTTTATAACCACTAGGACTTTGTCACATCTCCAGCGCTCCTTATAGTGCCTACGGGGGTGAGATGCTCACTCATGCTCATTCAGGACAGAGATGACAATTGACCTGCATTATCACCTAATATGAGGTATTTACATTTCAGGCCTTTCAGTTGTTTTATACAGTAAGTAGTAGTTTGTTCATAGACTGGGAACTGAGCTTCTGAGAGGCTAAAAGACTTATCCAAGGGTGCACAGCTAGTAAATGGCAATGTCATGATCTGAATCTAGGTCTGACTGGCTCCAGAGTTTGTACTTGTAGCCTGCTTCCCATAGGCTGGCCAAGCAGAACCTCTCCATCCAGGCTGAAGCTTAGGAATGCTAATCAATCGTGGCACCCTGGATTCAGAGAAGAGGAGGAAAGAACCTTCTTGCTAATAAGCAAGTGGAGAAAGATTGGAGTACACTATGGAGAGGCCCACTCCATCCCAGGCCTTGTTCCTTCCCTACATCCTCAGCCCCATGTGTCTATCCGAACGGGGCTTTTCAGCACTGGAAATCTGTCCAGCAGCTGAAGTCTTTCTTTTCTCTCCCCAGCACTCACTGCCCTAGGAAAAGACCCAGGGTCACAGCAGCTCCCCAGGGCCTTCACATATCCCCAGCGTCCATGGGAACTCTCCTCCCAGTCATTCACACACACTCTCCCGGGCTGCCTCTCCTGGTCCCAGTGGTGGCCTGAATTCTCAAGAGATGGATGGTCTGGGCCAGAGGCAGGGGGATGAAATGCCTGGCTGAGACAGAGCAAGAATCAGGATCAACTCCAAACCCTTTGGAGAATAGGGTCCAAGCTATGGAGAGCGAAGTTCAAAGAGGTTCTCCCTTATTGGGCTTCTGTTGATGCTCCTATAACATCTCAGCCCAGAATTGAGAAAAGAATACGATTTTCTGAGTACCCATGGGACAAGAAATGTGCTAATTGCTTTAAGTAGGTTATTTTTATTTAATCCTCACAATTCTGTAAGGTAGGTACTATTCTCCCCATTTCACAGATGAAAAACTGAGGCTTGGGTTAAATGTCTTGCCCCGGGTCACAGTAAGTGACACAAGAAAGAACCAGACTAATAACTGTCCCTAAAATCAAATCTCACTGCTCTGGACTAATGGGAGAAGGATTGTAAACTGGAGGGAAAGTCTCTTGAAATAGAAGAAATAAAATTCCTTTTTACTTCTGAGAACACAGTAAAACTTCAAGAACAGATTTCTGTAGACTACCGCTTCAGTAAACAGCTAAGATAAATTATGATAATATTTTTGTTACTATGCCAAGTCTTCAATAATTATTTCTATTTAAGCAATTCTACATTAGTAATTTGCTTAGTAAACCCTTTCTCCTTCCAGGTCATGTCACACTCATAGAAATTCTAATTTAGAAGGGTCTAATTGAGTGATGCAGACAGACTTAATGGATCCGGAGCGTAGGCCACAGGCAGACATGGGATCAGTTAGCTGCTTGAATGACCACTCTCTGAATACTTGGTCTTTTGCCACTCAACATCTTTTGAGTCTATGCCATCATCTGTAAAATGGAGGTAGCATCTCCCCATAGGATCATTGTAAGAGTTAAATAAGATGATTGTTAGAATTCCCCTGCACATGGCCTGCTCCTCTTCCTTCCAGAATGAGCAAGTGTCAGGAAACGGGTAGCAGGCTGGGGGAGAAGTAGAAAGTCCCTGACAATAGATGAAAAGGTTGCCACGTTCTGGGTGGTCCCAGTTCAGCACACCCTTGTCCCTCTTCAACCTTCTTCAGGCTGCTTCTCCCTATTGTGTGGGAGGGGGTGGCCAGGACTTGAAGCGCTACACAAATCAAGGCATTGCTATGCTATATGTAGCCCAAGGGAGCTGAGGGACCAGGCAGGGAAAGGAGGGCCAGCAACTCTTTTGCCTTGAGCTAAAGGAGTGCTGTGAGTGAGGAGATGCTGAAGAATGAACTGGACAAGGAACAGAAGATGCTTGAATTGGGGTTGGAATGAGGAGGACCCAGGCTGAAGGGCTGGGGGAATCACAGGAGAGGAAACATTAGGCCATATATAGTAGTGTCTCAGGGACTGGAGGTGCCAGGAGTGGGGGGGAACAGGAGCAGGCTGGGGCTGGAAGTTTCCAAATAACAGGGCTAGGCTGAGGCAGCCTCTAGAAGGTGCCTGGGGTAGGGAGGGTAAGACATCCCCTCCCCTAAAAGCAGGCAGTAAGTTCTAATGACCCTGCAGTTTTTGTCCAAGGACAGCCCCAAGAGCAACAGGCCTGGGGCCAGGAAAGTGCCTTTGTTACCACTTATCTTTCTGGGGAGACTACTCACACATTTAAAAAGCTTCTAAGAGGGTGTGGATGGTAGCGATTGGAAGGCTGCATCCGACTGTAGTAATGCTGACGTCGTAGGATCACGTCTTGTGAAGGACCAATTTTGAGCTGCGTATTGAGACACACCTGTCTCAGATGATGAATGGATGCGCAGGGATTTGAAATGTTTTGCCAAGATCCTTGTGGTGGGTGCTTTTGAATACCCAAATTACCTGGCTTCCTCCAAAGAACACTGTGGGAGGGGACTAATGCCTTTGGAGCCTACACGTTTTAGGCACTTCACATATTTTATTTCATCTTCACAAAGTCCCAACAGATGGATCTCATCCCCATTTTACAGATGAGGAAACCATGGCTCAGAGAGGGGAAGTAACAGCCAGATGGCACAGCAAGTAAATGGCTGAGCTATCCAACCAATAATGTTAACCGCTATAGACCAGCTTACAGTGGAAAGTTAACATAGCAAGTAATAATGGGACTTCATGTACATTTCACCATCACATTCTCACACCATCACATTCTCACACCATCGTAGAAATATGAGTAAACAAGTACAAACAGCTGGGCAGAGAGAACTTCCAGAAATTCAAAGACTGCACCTACTGCACTGCTTCTCACTAACGCAGGGTAGTTCCTGAGCCAGCACAGAATGGGTCCTCTCCCATATGCGTCCCCCCACCCCCATCTCCTGCACACACTTCACCTATCCCTCATTTGCAAGTAAATTGACCTTAATTTAAAATTCTGCCTTAATACAAGGAACTGCTAACTGGGCTCCGGGAACACTGGTGAGGGTCATCCTACTGTTCTTCCTTATACTACTTGTGTTAACATATTCAAAAAAATTTTTGACAACAACAAAAAATCTGCCTCACCCACCATCCCTGTGACAGAGAGAAACAGTATAATGTGTCCCACAGGTCAACTAAAACTGCTGGGGGTTCTGGAGAAAGGGGTGTGCTACTCATACCTGCCTCCCCATTAGCACATGCAATCAAGAGCTGCTTTAACGAGACGCTTCCTCACTATCCAGCCAGTCTGGGGCCCACAGGGCTTCCTGTTGCCAACAGGGAGCTTTCCGAAAATCCTACCTCTCTGAGCCTTTGCTCCCATCCCCCAGGACACAGCAATCTACTCTGAGTTTATCAGCCAAGTGGGGACCCTGGAAAATGTGTAATGGAAATAGTGACACACTGGAGTCTTCAAGTTGACCTTGCAGTTCCCAAACCACAGAGCCCCAGGGTGACTCTCAAGTTCTCAAACTGGGTTTTGATCCTTTCCTGCCTGGGCCCCATGTGAATAAAAAATGATGCAGTTCTCACAGCACCGGCCTCCACCACTCTGTGCCAGAGGCTTGGAAACCAGACCCCTTCCCTGTTTGAAGCCTGGGACTCTTTTTTTTTTTTTCCTTCCCTCGGGTAGCCTGTCTTTTTGTGCTAGCCATGGCAAGCTCTCAGTCACTCATTCACTCGGCGTGTACTTGCTAAGTACCTACCATGTGCGGCACTCTGCTCTAGAAGCTGACAGGCAATGGTCCTGCCTTCAGGGAACTCACATTCTAGGGGTTGCTAGATCCTGGTTGATGAGGAAGCAGAAGGCAAGCTGAGGACAAAGCACAAGCTGACACCCAACAACCCCCTCCCCCTCAGGTGGGATATATGTGACATTCCTCAGCCCTAAAGCTAAGGGAATGAAAAACAAACAGTTAACTTACAGAGATTACACTCCTTCAAGGCAGGAGTCTCCCTCAGTTTACCAATGTCTTAGTGATTTACAAGAAAAAAGCATTCTTACCAATAACCTAGCTTCCAGGAGAAAATGTAGATAAAATTAAATGTCCTTATAACGTGCAGCCCATTGACCAATACTTGAGGCAGGCATAGTATAATGTTCTTCCAGGAAGCTCCCAACTGTCTTAATGTTAATGCCTTGCTAGAGGGAAAAACAACCTTAACTTGACAAGGGCAAGGCCTCCAGTATCTCGTAGGTCCTGTTTAGCATATGAAAGTTCTGAAAACCTCCCTTTTCCCTTACCTCCCCCAACTCCAAGTATATCATCAATTGCTCCTCACAACCCCAGTGCCCCTCTTTCTGCCCATGGGTCCCGTCCCAGTACTTTAATAAAACCATCTATTTGCACCAGAGACATCTCAAGAATTCTTTCTTGGCCGTCGGCTTCAAACCCTAACATCTTTCCTACATCACTGGTGACTGTATCAGAGATCCTCTGGCTTAGGTTTCTGGCTTCAGTTTACCACCTATAACTGGATTAAAAGATGTCACTAGCTGGCAAGGTGATAAAAGAAGAGTTATATTTCTGGTTTTTTTTTTTGTTTTTTTTTTTTTAACTATCTGCAGGTTAAACAGCTTAGCTTCCATGGGTCTTATTATTTCCCTTTTTTCTTTTTTTTTAAGATTTCATGTTTTTATTTTAGAGAGAGAATGAGCAAGAGACAGAGAGGGCATGAGCGGGGGTTTGGGCAGAGGGAAGGGGAGAAGCAGACTCTCCTGCTGAGCAGGGAGCCTGACGTGGGGCTCGATGATCCCAGGACTCTGGGATCATGACCTGAGCCAAAGACAGACGCTTAACTGACTGAGCCACCCAGGCACCTCATTATTTCCATCTTTAAAAGGTTTCTCTACCAGAAGAGAGACAGGGCTACAGGCTTGGTAGTAAGGTAACAAATACAGAAAGAGTATTGTTCCCAATCTCCATGAAGAATGGTCAATGCTAAAAGATAGGAAGCCTTCCTCAGCAGTTTCATCCATGAACTTATAGGAAAATAATACCTAATGAACATTTATATGTGTTATTAATATATGAAATATACATATATAATCAAATGTTTTGACACCACTTTAAAGTTTTGTGGGTTTTTTTTTTTAAGATTTATTTATTTGAGAGAGGGTGTGGGACAAGGGGCAGAGGGGGAGAATGTCATGCAGACTCCCTGCCCAGCGCAGAGCCTGACGCAGGGCTCGATTCCACAACCCTGAGATCATGACCTGAGCAGAAACCAAGAGTCGGACGCCAACCGAGCCACCCAGGTGCTCCACCACTTTAAAGGTTTTTGTTGAAATCTTAATATGCCGCACAAAAATGCACTATCAAAAGTGTACAGCTCAGATGTGGTAACTGAACACATCTGTGTATTCAACCTCCAGATCAAGAAAAGAACAGGACCAGTTCCCCAGAAGCCCCCTCATATTCCCCATGACTAATCTTAGCTCTAGGTAACCACTATCCTTACTCAAGAGCACAGGACACTTTAGCCTGTTTTTGAACTTCATATAAATGGAAAGTTTTGTGAGATTCATCTATCTTGTGTGTGATTGTAGATGGTTCATTCTCATTGCTGCATTAGGTACCATTGTGTGACTAGAACATTTCATCTATCCTTTCTATAGTTGTTGGACATTTGGGGGCTTTCCAGTTCTCTGGCTATTACAAATAGTGCTGCTATGAACACATTAATACATGTAGTTTGTGTACATCTGTACACATTTCTGTGGAATTTCCATGGAATTGCAGTCACAGCGTAGGCATGGGTTTGGCTTTAGTAGATATTGCCATTTTCTAAAGCAATTTGTACCAATATAGAATTGCACTAGCAGGATGTTAGTTTTAATATTTTAATCAGCATATGTAGTAATGTTGTCTCCTGTGTTATTTTAGCTTGATGTGTTATCATATTTTCATATATTTACAAGGTCATCACACTTGTCATTTTAAATACATTTGTAGAGAGGGAATGTGATAAGGAAGGGGTTGGGGATGAATGGGGCACTGCGAGTTCAGCGGGGGGAGAGGGGAGGAGAACTTAAATACAGAGGCCAAGCAGGTAATGAAAATGATTCAAGCAGCTAAGTGGGAACAGTGCCTGCCCTGCACAAACAAATATTACTCAGAAGTAGCCGCCGATGAAACTAGAGGCTCAAAGGGAGGATTTTTTTTTTTTTTCACTATTTAGAGAGAAGCCAAAGATCTGGATTTTAAACTTTTGGCAATTAATGCATACTTTTAGAAAACATCCTACCGGCCAAACAAAACTTCTGTCAGTGGGCCAGATGGCCAGCCCTCTGGACTAGCAGTTAGTTCCGGCCTGGCTTTCGGGGTAGGAGGGTTTGACCTGTAGCAAGTCACCTCATTTGTTAGAGCTTAATTTCCTGTGGTCAAAAGAGTAAAATAGAAGCCTATCCTTTTGTACAGTGATGGTCAAATGAGATAATTCAGGAGTACAGGAGTTGTCAAACACCATACAAAGTAAAGTACTCTCCCATCTCCTTGGGACGCCTTCCGTTGTAATGCACGGACTCCCTGTACTTAAAGCATTTGAGGTGTTTCCAGATTCCTTCGAGGCGAGGCAGTTTAAGGCTGGACATTCCCATGCATACAAATTCTCCAGAAAGTCCTTTGAAGGGGATCCTGCTGGGATGCAAGGGGTTAAGAGGAAATAGCCTATTAGGGTTTTGCTAATCTGAGAAGTCCAGGACTTCAAAAGTATCTAAAATGCCACTAACAGCCAAGACTCAAAGGAGGTAGGATGATTAACCCGACGAGGGGCAGTAGGAGCAGAACCTAGAACGGGGCGTCAGCATCCTGATGTGTCACACTGGACCCAGGCCTCGGCGGCGCGCACAGAAGACAACTCCGGGGCTCGTAGGACAGACCTAGGATGCTCAGGTAAGGCGTGTCCTCGCGGCGCCGTTGGTAGCCCGCCCAAACCGAGGCACTGGCCGCGGGGGCCTGCTGTCCCGAGAACCAAGCTGGAGGGATGAATTGTCCCGGGGGCGAGGTCTGCGCCCACCCACGTCCAGACTCCACGCGGGTGGCACCGACACAGTCGGCGCCCCCGGGACCGCCCGGGAGCGCGCGAGGGCCCGACCGTAGAAAGTTGGACGCCCGCGCCGCCGCCCGCGCGCTCCGGGGCGCCCCCTCCCACCCGGGCGCCACGTGCCGCGCGCCCCCTGCTCCCAGGCCGCGGCGGGACGCCCCCGCCCCCACCGCGGCGCGTAGTGCGCAGGCGCCTCCCCGCGGGTCCGGGCGGCGGGAGCGGGAGGCGGCGGCGGGAGCGGCTTCGGCCTCGGCTGGAGACTCAGGCGAGGGCGGCGGCGCCGAGAGTTGGAGGAGAGGTGCGGGTGGCGGCGCAGGCGATGGCGACGCGGGGCACATGAGGCGGCGGCCGGTGGGACGGGCCGAGGCCCGGCGGAGGAGGCGGCTCCGGGGGAACACGCCGCCCGGTGAGGGGCGGCCGCAGGGCGGGCTGAGGAGCGGGCAAAGGGCGGGGCCCGGGGGGGCGGGAGAACTTGTGGGGAGGCCGGAGGGGGGGGGCGCGGGGGACGGGGGTCCCGGGAAGAGTGCGGCGGGGGGGGCGGGAGGGGCTGCTGCTGAGACTTCCCGCCAACCCCGGAGGGGCGTCTGGCCGGCGGCTCGCCGCTGCCCCCTGCGCTCCCTCCCCCTTTGTCCCTGGGCGCGCGGTTCCCAAATTGGGAGGGAAACGGCCGGGGGGTGGGCCCGGGCGGCGGCGGCCGCGCCGGGCGGGCGAGGACCCCGGGCGCGCACTTGGGCGGCGCTCGGCGGTGCTCGCAACTCCTCGGGGCGGTTAGGGGCGCAGGGCCGCGCCGGGGCCGCCCCTCGCCGCCGGGGCGCTTCGCGGGCTGGTCTTTGTCTCCCGACGCTCGGCCCCTGACATCTCTCCGGGCGGCGTGCGGTTCGTTTGACTCCTTCCTCTAACAGCGCTGCCGGGACTCCTGCCTCCCGTCCGTGTTGGAGACAAGATTTAGTTCGAGGGCTGGAAGGAGGGAAACGGGGGGCGGGGGGGAATGGCGCGGTCGCCTCTTCATTAACATGTTTCCTTTACCTAAAATGATTTTCTTCCACTTCGTGAAACTTTGGACAATTATTTTGTTTTCCCTTCGGTCTGCAGATTCAAAATGAAGAGAAGGCGCTAAAGCTGCGACTGTGGCCAATTGTGTGGTTGGTGGCTGCGTTTGGAGCTTTGAGTTGAAAGGATTTACGTGAATGTGTGGTTTAGCATTTGCGTTGTTTTCCTTCCCTTGTGATTGTTTCTTAAGATTGGGATTACTTTTTCTTTGCGAAGTGGGCGAGTTCGGATTTATGATTTGAAGGAATGTTTGTTCATTGAGAACCTGCAATGGTGCAGATTTCATTGTGCTCACGCTTTATTTTGTTAGCCTCAAGACCGTACTTTGTGGAATCGAGTAAATCAACATAGAGTAAGTTCTGGATAAGCATTATCTTGTGCCTGATTAGTCTAAAACTGTTACACGTTCGTGTTGTGTATACTTTGAAGTGAGTATGTGGGAAAGCGCTATAAAAACCAAGCAGTCTAAATGAAGGGGACTTTAATTCCTAATAAACGGAGAACAGCATATCGCGACTACATCACATATCTGTAGAAAAGGGGATTAATAATGTAATTTAGGGATCAAATCCTTTACCTCCTAAAGAGGGTTTAGGTATTATTCAGAGTAAGAATGCAGAAAAGTAAGCTTAATTCCAGAGCTTCTGACTAAATATATTGTGAATTGTGGTTACCACGTTTCCTGGAGTTTTGTTGGTTTTATTTTTTTTGGAATTTAGCATAGTATGTTGCAGTTGCTTTAGATTTCTTAAGTGCTATGTAATGGCAGAATTAAAGAAATGAACTGACTCTTCTGGGTAAAAGGTAAAAAGCTGTGGTAAACCCCATCTTAGGGTGAGCCAGATATTTGTGAGCAGAGTATTGTAAGGAAAGGACATTTTGGAGAGAATACATAGGAGCCATACAGAAGTTCTACCTGTCTTATTTGTCCTGATTTGTAATGGTTTGATACTGTTTACTGCTTGTCTTAAACTGTTGTGCGCTTTTCCAAAGCATTTCAAACATCCTTTCTAAAAGTCAGCGCTTTTAGCTTCTTTTTTAGGTTGTGTGACTTCAGAATTGGTTTTTTATCTGTGCTAGGTAGCCACCACGGTTCTCTCAAAAAGGAGCGAAGGACCCAGAGACCTTCAATTCAGTTCATGAAGATAGAATTGACTTTTAGCCTTAAGTCCAAAGGATTTAAGAAGCTAACATACCTTCAGCATAACAGTTTTACTTAAATACTGTTACCCTTAATAATTATTTTTATTCCTATTTTATATTTGTATAAATTAGCAAAAGGGAAGGACTAGAGGGTCTGTCTCTGATTAGCTGCACCACCACCCTAGCTCCAGGCTCTTCTATTAAGTCAGTAATTGGGATCCTAGAATACAAAATACATAATTAAAATCTAGAGTATCATTCTCTTAATAAATGCATAGTTTCTTCTATGCCTAATGCAGTGCAAAGAGAGGAGTTCCAAAATGCTGGGCTTTTTATTTGAGGTTTGTTCACATTTCAAAATAAATGAGTTGTGTTCCCTTCTTTTTTTCATTATTAGTCTGGATAGTTAGTGGAACTGGGAGTATACTTCTTTATTTCCAAATTGGTGCTTTTTTTTTTTTTTTAACTTGCAAATGTATGTATTTATTTTTACTAATTGGTGCTTTTCTTGTAGCATAAAAACGTGTGGCTCCTACCCAAAATATCTGATAGAAATTTAGGCAAAGAAAAATGGGATTACTTTTTTTTTTTAGACCATTTCTTTGAGAATACATAGGATAATAGATTTTAGTTGGTATCATTAACCTACAACACAGTTCTGCACTGTTAATATCAGCTAAGTGCCAACAATTTTCAGACCTACTGCCGCAACTGATGGGTTTAGTTTTTGTGGAAATAAGAAGGACCTATTCTTTTATCTCTGAGCATTGCTATTTTATCCAGCTCTTTAGAATGAATGACCAGACAGTACTGGGCTGCCATACAGGAGTAGTACATTCTTGAATTTTGCAAACACTGTAGGGGTTGACAACCTTCAAGTTTGTCTTTGAAGCCTGTGTGTGGAATGTGTTGCCCAAAGAATTTCTCGCCCCCCCGCAGGACAGGGATGAGATCTCTTTGCAGATACCATTTTATTTCTAAGAAAAGAAGTGTTCTGTGGAATGAGTAGAACCCTCAGAGTTTGTATTTTTGAGCTATACCGCTTTTTGCACCAGCACAATTTGGACATGGTACTGTGGTGGCCGTTCATTCATGTAGTGAATTTTTTTTTTTTTCATTCAGTTATTTGCTAGAATGCTAGATGCTGAAGATGAATACTGTATGGTTTTTGCTCTCAAAATGCTTACAGCTTAACATGCTGAAAGATTTAGCAATTTGGAAATTCTCTGAAATCTTTGAAACAAAAGAATGTACAGGATTTTGGAGTAAGTTTTTGTGTTTTTTCGCTATAGAAATGAAATAAACTTCATTCTTATTATCCTCTAATCTCTAAACTGGATATTCTAGTCTCATATAGTTGCAAAGATTATTTTCATCTGTCTCTGTATGATTTATCAGTTTTGACTGAATTTATTGTTACTTAACTGAGTTATAACATTTCTTTTGGGAATGTTCAGAATAAGGTAGATCTGGACTTTCTGTTTTTAGGGAATTCCCTTTGACTCATTCTTGGACCTCAGATTCCTAAATGCCCATTTCAGAATAGGTGTTTATTTTATTTTTATTTATTTATTTATTTGGGAGAGACAGAGATGGTGAGAGAGAGCTCAAGCAGGAAGGAGGGGGAGAAGCAGACACCCCGCGGAGCCGGGAGCCCGATGCGGGGCCCCGGGATCATGACCCGAGCCGAAGGCAGACAGACGCCCAACCATCTGAGCCACCCAGGCGCCCCTATTTTTATATTTTTTAAGATTTTATTTATTGGGACGCCTGGGTGGCGCAATTGGTTAAGTGTCTGCCTTCAGCTCAGGTCACGATCCCAGGGCCCTGGGATCAAGTCCCACATTGGGCTCCTTGCTCAGTGGGTAGCCTGCTTCTCCCTCTGCCTGCTCTACCTGCTACTCCCCTTGCTTGTGCTCTCTGACAAATAAATAAAATCTTAGAAAGATTTTATTTTTTTATTTGAGAGAGAAAGAGGGCGCATAAGCGCAAGGGGGGAGGGGCAGAGGGAGAAGCAGACTCCCCGCTGAGTAGGGAGCCAGACATAGGGCTCAGTCCCGGGACCCTGAGATCATGACCTGAACCAAAGGCAAACGCTCAACCAGCTGAGCCACCCAGGCACCCCAGTAGGTGTTTATTTCAGTTCAAAAATTTCCTTCCTGAAGTACTCTTTTCTCCTGGCTTCTGATTTCCCCCACTTACTCTCTGGCTGTTCCTTCAGGTTTTTCCCCCCCATCCTCTTCTGCCAGATCTTTATTTTATTTTTTTTTAATATTTTATTTTATTTATTCATGAGAGAGGCAGAGGCAGAGGGAGAAGCGGGCTCCCCGCAGAGCAGGGAGCCAGATGCTGGACTCATGACCTGAGCTGAAGGCAGATGCTTAACCGACAGAGCCACTCAGGTGCCCCTCTACCAGGTCTTTAATTGATGGTCTTTCTCAAGTCTTGGTCCTCTAATTTCATCCATTCTGTGGCTTCAGTTACAATATGTATTTTGAATACTCCCCGATTTTTGTCTGCCTTCCAGACTTCTTTTCTGATCCCAGCTGCCTACTCAACATCTCTGCTTAGCTTTGGGGATACTTTGAGTTGAGATGCCCAGACTGACCTCAATCGTGGCTCCAAACCTAGACCTTCACTGTACCATTTCATTAAGTGGCTCTACCAACAACTTACTGAGGCCAGACTTGTGTTTCTCTACCTTTAGTCTCCCCATCCTAGTCTAGGTCAACTTTTCCTAAGATTATTATAGTCAGTTATAAATGGTCTTTCCACATTCGATCTTATTTTTAAAAGGGAGGGTAGTATGAGATATTTAAGACAGAAAAAGTAATGAATAATACTATAATAAATACTTAACTACCTTGCAGCTTAGGAAAATAAAATATTACCAGTAAAGGTCAGGTGTTTCCCCACCTGATTGTATCCTCCTTCCCCCAACCTCCATTGTAGACCTCCTTGCCAGAGGTAATCACTAATTGAATTTATTATTCCTTTGCACTTCTTTATACTTTTACTATATACATACATACCCTAAGCAGTATATCCTCATCTAGTCTTCTCACAGCAGCTAGAATTGTCTTGTCTTATAAAACAAATTTAACCAAGTCACTTACCTGAAAACTTGTTTTCCTTTTAAGGCCTTCCCTCTTCATTTAACAAGGTGTGATCTGGCCTTCCCTAGCATCATGTCTTTGTACTTACTTTTCTTGTTATGAGTGGTGTGGCTTGCTGATCTTTTTTTTTTTCCTTTTTTCTTTCTTCCCCCCCCCCCTCTATTCCTTAAAGGCTCAGAGCTCACCCAAAGCCTTTGTACATGCTGTAGCTAATTATTCTGCCTGGAAAGCAGCCCCTCAATTCTTCAAAATATGCTTAAATATCACTTTTGTGGAGAAATCTTTCCTGATCCTCCTAGATTCAGTTAGAGAACTCAATAACATACTCTTACAGCACCCTGCACTTCTGTTACAGTTTTGATTAATTATTTGTATAATGCCTATTTCACCATTAGACTGTTCTGTATATTTCATTAAGTCAGGAGTAATATCTAACTTGGGCAGCCCAGTATCACAGCACCTAGCTCATAGTTCATTTCTTTCTTTCTTTCTTTCTTTTTTTTTTTTTTTTAAGATTTTATTTATTCATCTGAAACACAGATACAGAGAGAGATCATGAGCAGGGGGGAGAGGCAGGCTCCCAACAGAGCCAGGAGCCGGATGTCGGCCTCCATCCCACTTGAGCTGAAGGCAGACGCTTAACCATCTGAGCCACCCAGGCGCCCTCATAGTTCATTTCTGTATTCAACAATTACTTGAGTGCTTACTAGTTTCTCTTTTATTTATAATTGATGATTGTAGCAAAGTAACTTCTTTTTTTTTTTTTTTTAAGATTTTTCTTATTTATTTGACAGAGAGAGACACAGCGAGAGAGGGAACACAAGCAGGGGGAGTGGGAGAGGGAGAAGCAGGCTTCCTGCAGAGCAGGGAGCCCGATGCGGGGCTCGATCCCAGGACGCTGGGATCATGACCTGAGCCGAAGGCAGATGCTTAACGACTGAATCCTATTCTTGGTTTTGGCTCAGGTCATGATCAGGTTGTAAGATTGAGCCTCACGTCACTTCGGGCTCTGAGCTCAATGCAGAGATGCTTGAGTTTCTCTCTCCCCCTCTCCCTCTGCCCCTTACCTGCTGGCTCGCTCGCTCTCAAATAA